GTTGTTTTTTGTTGTTACAACTATTGTTTTTATTTTATTGCTGTTGTTGTTGTTGCTGTTATTGTTTGTGTACATTTCGCTTTTTTTCAAATGTCACGTTGTCTGGCTTTCAAGACGCATTTGCACTACTCACTGCACAGGGAAGATCGTTCGGCGTCGTTGTCGTTTGACATCGCTTCAATAACAAAAATAGACCAAACTGGAAGAAGAACGCCAACAACAACAACAGAAGAAGTAGAAAAAATTAATGCAAATGAACTACAACAATTCCATTTAGAGAGCGAGATATTTATCGGTCTCTTTACACCTCGCCTTAGCTTGGTGTGGGTGAGGAAGTACCAAGCCGATCTGTTGTTTTTTTCCTCACAGAGAGCAACAAAAAAACCAGAGCAGTTTTTGCTTTTGATTCTCTCAGTTGGATGGCCTTACTTGACACAGTTATGCGCCCCTCGACTGGATGATAAATAAGGCAGATCTGAAGATAACTAACTGTCCGGCATGCGAAAAGTCGTGTTTTTTGTTACAATTAACAAGTGTTTTTATTCAGAATAATAAGAAAAGCAACAACAACAAAACAACAACACAATGACACAATAAAAAATGATGGCAAGTTCTCACTTATATAGATGTGGAGACATCTGGAGATAGATAAGACACTCGAAGAAAAATGTTGGTGCATGGTAGATTTTCAAAGCAGGTTAAATACTTGTACGTTTATTCGGACCATATGAAAGGCTAGGGAGGTTAGGCAGATGAAGAGACAACCTGAAAGTTCAGAGAGTTTATATATGGGAGCTAAAGGGGCGGGGAATCCCCAGGGAGGAATTCTGTACGGTTGAATTGGGCGCCAGGGTATTTTTTATTGCAAAAAAGAAATCAAGGGAGTATCAGGGGTCAAGGAATCTCTAGAAATTTTCGGGAGGTGGAAGCTGAGCTGCAAGGAAAATTATGGCATCTGTAGAGCTAAAGGCTGTAAACTGGGCGGCAAACAACCAACTTTCACTATTTTAAACAAGTAACCTGTTGAGTTGGGCGGCAAAGAGTCTTACAGTCTACTTGGCGCCATTACGAACGATATGGAGGACAATTAGTTGGTCATATAGCGAGTCAATATGGATAACAAAATTGCATCAGATATCATTACAGCAAACCAGGAGGACAGAAAATATATTAATATTTGCAAGTTGGGCGCCAGAGTGTTTTTATGAAGACCACCTGAGCTCAATGACCTGAAACAGACGAATTAGACGCAAAAGGTCAACCTACTCTATCTTAAAAGAATTATCTCTGAGCTGGATGTCTGTTGGGCGCCAGAGTGTTTATTATGAAGACCACCTGAGCTCAAAATGCCAGCAACCTTAAAAGAGTTATCTGTGAGCTAGTCTAATTGGGCGCCATTTGGTACTTACAACCAATACGGATGGCAATGAGTTGGTCATATATGGAGTGAATCAATATGGATCAGGACGTTTTTACAGCAAACCTGGAGGTGAACGATATGTATATATTTCCCAGGGTGGTTATAATGAAGACCACCTGAGCCCAATGTGTCTGCAGCAAACGAATTGGGTGGAAAAAAGTCAGCCTGCTCCATCTTAAAAAAGTTATCTGTGTTATCTTTGAGCTGGACGTCAAAAAGTCTTCTAGTCTAATTGGGCGCCAAATGATATGGATGGTAATGAGTTGGTCACATAACGATATATTTTCCATTTGGGAGCCAGGGTATTTATTATGAAGACCACTTGAGCCCAAAGTGTCTGCAACAGGCGAATTGAGCGCCAAAATGTCTTATATTCTAATTGGGCTCCATTTGGTACTTACCAACGATATGGAGGGCAGTGAGTTGGTCATATAAGGGCGCCAGGGTGTTTATTATGCCACAGACGAATTGGGCACCAAAAAGTCAACCTACTCTATCTCAAAAGTTAATCTGCTCTATGTTAAATAATTTAGTTGTGTTATTTGTGAGTTGGACCCCAAAAAGTCTTATAGTCTAATTGGGCGCCATTATGGGTTCTTACAAATTGGATATGGAGGACAATATAAAGACGATCCGATTTATTAATGAGCCAATATGGATAATAAAATTGCGATAATATGCGCGGATCTGATTTGCGTCATTGCAAATCAGATCCGCGATAATATATTTTCCGGTTGGGCGCCACCTGAGTCAAATGTGTCTGCAAACTGACAGAAGCTGAAGTCCTCCAAGATTGATGTGAAAGTTTAAGCTTCGCAGAAGTCAGTGTGGAAGTTTGGCCGCCAGGGAGACTGTAAACAGGAACTGAAGTTCAGGTAATTTATGTAGAAGAGCTGAAGAAAGTCTGTAATACAATACGGAAGTACAGAATGCTTATTTCAAGGGGTCGGGCGCCGAACCGGTTATGATTATGTTATTAAGTCCAATGATTATGTGAGGATCGAATTGGGCGCCAAACAGCCAACCTGTTCTATCTTGAAACGAGTTATCTATAAGCTGGACGCCAACAAGTCATATAGTCTAATTGGGCGCCATTATGGGTACTTACGAACGATATGGAGGACAATGAGTTGGTCTGACTGAGCCCAAAGTGTCTGACTGAAGCTGAAGTCCTCTAAGAGTGATGTGAAAGATTAAGCCCCCGGCATTTTGGATGTTATCAAGTCCATGGATTATATGAGGAGCGAATTGGTCCCCAAACAGTCAACCTGTTCTATTTTAAAAGGATTATCTGTGAGCTGGACGCCAAAAAACCTATATTCTAATTGGGCGCCATTTGGTACTTACGAATCATATGGAGGACAATTAGTTGGTCAATGCGTCTGGATGTCTTTGGATTTGCCAGTTGGGCGCCATCTAACCCAAAGTTTATGCAACTGACAGTAGCTAAAGTCCTCCTAGATTGTATGTGAAAGTTGAAGCCCTGGGCATCTTACTAGAAGCTTGGAAATCAAAGAAGTCCGTGTGGAAGTTATGGGCACCAGAATGCTTATTTCAAGGAGTTTGGTGCCGAACGGGCTACAATGATGTTATTAAGTGCAATAATTATGTGAGGAGTGAATTGGGCGTCAGACAGTTAACCAGCTCTATCTTAAAAGAATTAGCTGTGTGATGGACACTAAAACATTTTATGGTCTAATTGGGCGCCATTCTGGGTACTTACGAACGATATGGACGACAATGAGTTCGTTACATAGTGTACGATCAGTCATTTGCTAGTAAGTCAATATGGATACTAAAATTGAGTCAGGATGTTTCTATAGCAAACCCGGAGATAAGCAATAACATAGAGGTTTGAGTCGGGCGCCAGGTTGTTTATAATGAAGTTCAAAGTGCCTACAAATTACAGGAGCTGGAGTCTTCCCAGATTGTATGTGAAAGTTGAAGGCCCGGGCATCTTACCAGAAGCTTTAAAATCGGAGAGGTCAGTTTGGAAGTAATGGGCGTCAGAGAGACTGTAAATAGGAGCAGGTTGGACGGTGCCTGAGCCTTTTCTTTCAGATTGTAAGCGAAAGTTGAAGCTTCGGGCATCTTACTAGAAACTCTGAAATCGGAGAAGTCGGAGTGGATGATATGGGCACCAGAGAGACTGTAAATAGGAACTGAAGTACAGGTAATATATGGAGATCAGCTGAAGGAATTCATTGATGAAAAAAACGGAAGGAAGGAATTCGGCGCCGGACGGGTCAATGATTGTGTGAGGAGTAGCTAAGATCTCTAGGAATACTTCTAGAGATATTGAAAGCGGAAACGTCGATGAGTATATTTTGGGCGCCATGAAATCTTAAGTACAGTATATAGAACTGGTGAAAGTACATCTATACGAGCTGGGCGCCGGGTGGCCTATAATCGATTGTTGAAGGTCAAGGGATATAATGATGCCATTAAGTCTAAGGATAATGTGAGGAGCCGCTAATATCTGCTGTATTGTAAGTGAAAGTACTGAAGCTCTAGATATATTGCTAAAGGTGTTGGATGCGGAAAAGTCAATGTCGATATGTTGGGCGCCATGGAATCTAAGGCTAGAAAATTCAGTATATATTGACCTGCTGAAAGTTCGGTTATACGAGTTGGGCGCCAGGCGGCCTACAATCGATTATTGAAACCCATGGGCTATAATTATGTTATTAAGTTCCAGGATTACGTGAGAACCAGCTAAGATCTGCTGAATTGTAAGTGAAAGAACTGAAACTCTGGAAATACTGCTAGAGGTGCTGGAAGCGGAAAAATCAATGTAGATATACTGGCCATGGTATCTAAGGATTTATATTGACCAGCTGAAAGTTCATTTATTCAAGTTGGGCGCCAAGCCGTCTATAATCGATTGTTGAAGCCGTATGAATACTAGAGAGTATATGTGTGAGTACTGAAGCTCTGAGTCTATGTAGCTAAAGAGAACTCAATATAGAAGAAATGGACCGCAGCGACACGAATTCCGGGAGAATATACAAAAAACCTGAAGGAAGGGAATCTCTACTGCTACGCCAAATAATATCAGGTTCATTTAGATCAGTTGGGCGCCATGGGTTCCACATAGACACATGATGTCTAAGGCTAGAAAGTACAGTATACAGACATGCTGAAAGTTTATTTATATGAGTTGGGCGCCATGCGGCCTGTAATCGTTTGCTGAAACCCAACGAACCCCAGAGAGTAAATGTGTGGATCAGCTAAGGCCATGTTGAATAGCTTGTGGGAGTACTGAAGCGCTGAGAGTCTTCGTAGCTGAAGTTGGAGAACTCAATATGTAAAAGTTGGAACCCTCGAAGAATTCCGAGAGAATATACCGCAAAACCTGAAGGAAAGAAGTCTCTACTGGTAAGCCGAAGCATAGAATGTTCATTTAAATGAGTTGGGCGCCATGGCTTCCACATAGTCGTGATAAAATCCAAAGACTCCCAGTTAGCAGATATGTAACAACTAGGCCCTTAAGAACCTCTTGACCAATAAAACAACAACAACAACAAAAAAACTCCTTACTCAAATTTTATTCCTCCAAAAACGCAAAAACAAAATCTCATTACTCGACCTCAATATTCTTCTTTCTCCTATCACCATCCGCCATTCTTGGAAGAATTGTTATTCTATCCTCCAGACCGGGATAAATGAAATCATGCTTTCGCAGATATACCGTTAAAACATCAACTTCCTTATTTTTCATACGCTGCGGTTCATGACCCGAATTATCATCAATGAATTTATAACCATCACCCTGATGTAGCAGGAAATGTGATACAATCACATTATAGAATTTATTCTCATCGAGCGGTTCATAGGTGGGAGTGGCACAGGCAGCACAACGAACATCAGCGGTAACAACACGGCTACCTATCGGATTATTATAATCATAGGTGACATGGATGCCGGACATTTGTAAAAATCCATTTGGTTCTTTGCGATCAATCATTGAGGCGGAGTGTTCCAAGGCGGCGAGCAGGGTTTTGCCACTAATTTTCGAGACATACAAATCATTGTTGTGCGACAATACGCTGCTGATATCTTGGGCGGTGATTGTGCCGTCGGAACGGGGTTCAATGCCATTGCGCATGCCTACAAAATAAAAATCGGAATTAAAAAAACTAACTTTTATAAGAAAAATCCTGATCCTTAATTTTTTATAAGAAAAATCCTTACCTCCCCCTTGCACAAAAGCCACAGCAGCATCTGTCCAAAAAGTTCCACCCAAATCTTCCAAAACGCGAGCGTGGATCATGGCATCTGTGACCAAGTTGCCCAAATTACATTCCCGATAATGACATATCTCGGCACGACCATCAATGAATACCTTGGTATGGCCCACAACATCATTTTCCAATTTGGTTACCTCGGGACGATACACCTCCAATAACTCCACAACATCGGGTTCTCTGGGTATTTCGGAATTCAGAAGTATGGGTGTGCCATCAAATTTAATTAAATTACCGTCCTTGTCGAACTGCAAAGGGAGAAAATCATTAAATCCCCTTTCCATGGGCTTTTGTAGGGTTCCTCTTACCTGTACATGCAATTTCCCCAAGTATTTGGTATAGGCATAGGCCTGCACCACTGGCACCTGTTTGCCACTTGTCTGATTCACCAATGTGGGATAGGGTCCATCAATACTTTCAATATCTGGTTGTTCGGAGTTGTATAAAAATGTATTGGTATGACCACCAATGACAATATCCACCTCAGGACATTTGGCAGCAATTTCCTGATCTTTTTCATAACCCGAATGACCCACAGCGATTATTATGTTGATGCCCTGGGCCTTGAGGTTTTCAGCTTCGCGACTGTAATTCAAATATAATTTATAAATAATTTAGGGCGTTAGAGAGACGTCTCCAAATTCAGCCTGCAAAAAGTCCCTACCTCGAACTATCAAGACTTTATAGAGAACCTAGAATTGTGTCCCCATAAAGATCAACTCAATTAGCAGTGCCTTGATCAACCGCTCGTGTAAAAGCCTCTGTAATGTCTAGGGAGTCAGTATAATATTTATGTATCCAGAATTAATTCTCCCTGGAGTCTAACTGGTCTATATGAGGATACTAGAAAATAATCCTTGAACATTTCATAGATCCTGAATGAACTACGTAAATGGCGCCCAACTGAATGTCTAGCCTTCAAAATTTTAAATATGAAGCATAATATTTTCAAGATTTATACTTGTGTCTTCTTTGAAATGGACTCTCGGCTGATCGTCTAACTGGCGCCCAAATTATTCTCTAAAGAATTGTTTGGCGCCCAACTTGTCGTTACGCACTACCAGACTTTCAATTTAGCTAAACAGATTGTCAGGATTTCGACACACATTTATAGGCTCTCCATTATTTAATTTGTCTAAATATAATCTTCCTGAACCTGAACCTGAACTGTAGGACATCAGTTCAAAGCGACCCTGAACTGTAAATCATAGATACAAAACTATCTCTATACGCTTTCAGGGCTTTCACTGAAGAACTTTTAGGGCTTTCATAAAAATCCGCATAGCCGTTTGTGTTGAGCTAAACGCCGAGAGAGATTTTCATATATTGTAGCATTACCTGAGGCTGAAGAGTGATCGGAAGGCTCTCAAAGGTGAGCAATGATTTCTTGAGCTGTTCGGTCAGAAAATCGTTCATAGTCTAGACAACTATGAGGATGGAAGAGGCCTTCACAATGTTTTTAGCAAGGACTCTCAAAGGTGAGCAATGATTTCTTGAGCAGTTCGGACTACCAGACTTTCAATTAATCTAAACAGATTGTCAGGATTTCAACTCATATTATAGGCTCTCCATTATTTAATTTGTATAAATATAATCCCCTTGAATCTGAGCTGTAGGACATCAGTTCAAATCGTCCCCGGACTACAAATCATCCATAAAAAAACTTTTTGGACTTTATTCCTTCTCTATTGACTTCCAGGGCTTTCATAGAGGAAATGAGGTTTTGAGAGTCTTATTTAAGTCCGCATAACCGTTGTAGACCAAATAAAGACCGGAGAGGTTTTCACAGGCGAACTAAAGCCAGAGAGATTCTTAGGAACTATTTCTTAGATTGTAGCATTATCTTAGGCTGATGAGTGATCGGAAGGACTCTCTTGGGCAGTTCGGACAGAAAGTCTTTCATAGTCTAGACAACTATTAGGATGGAAGAGACCTTCACAATGTATTTAGCAAGAGAACAGAAGTCAGGGTGTTGATGGTCTAAATGGCGCCCAAATTATTCTCTAAGGAATTTCTGGCGCTCAACTCGTCGGCACGCCCAACTGGGCTTTCAAATTATCTAAACAGATTGCCAGGATTTCAACAGACATTTATGGGCTCTATCCCATCTCTATAGGTTTCCAGGCCTTTCATAGAGGAACTGAGGTTTAGAGTCTTTTATAAAAGTCCGCAAAACCTTTGTAGACCAAATAAAGACCGGAGAGATTTTCACAAGGGAGCTAAAGTCAGAGGGTCTCTCAAAGGTGAACTATGAAGCAGTTCGGACAGAAAGTCCTTTATAGTCTAGACAACTATGAGGATGGAAGAGGCCTTCACAGTGTAGAGAACAGAAGTCAGGGTGTTGATCATGGATTTTTTCGAAAAAAACCGACGCTTTAGGGAATTGTTCACAGAATTCACAAATCGAGTTGGTCTATCATAGACGGCTTAAATTTTCGCCCAAATTTCCTCGAAGTCTTCATATAAACATGCTCCTATTTCTTCTAATAGGATCACATAAACCACAACAACTTACTTGATTGCTTCGATTTCATCGGTGAATATGTCCTCCTTTGTCATGGTCAGATCCAAAGTATCGGGTGTAATATAACCAATGACGCCAACCTTCACACCGTTCACATCCAATACTGTGGAGTTTTGTAAATGTTTGCTATGTCTCAGTTGCGGAGTGCTGGAGAGATCCAAATTGGCCGCTACAATGGGGAAATCGACCTTATCCAAGAAGGGCAGCAGTCCTGGTAAACCCGAATCAAATTCATGATTACCCAAGGACTAAATACAGGGTGAAAATTCAATTAGATGAGAGTTCAAATAAACTTGGAGGAAAGAGTATGGGAGGAAACAACTAACAACAACTTACCGCAGCATCGGGTAATAATTTATTGAGAAAAGCCGTTGCTATGCCATCTTTAAAGCGGAAATACCAAGCTGTGCCCGCCGAAGTATCACCGGCATTCAAATAGACGACAGGCGTGCCACCTTCCTGGGCTTCCTTGCGGTATTTGCGAACTCTGAAATGAAGAGGTTAGAGGAAAAAAATAGGACTCATTATTAAAAGGTTATTAGATTGGGAAGAGGGATGGGATGCCCTAATGGAAATACGACGAAGACAGAGAGGGCCTGTTCAGTTCTCTAAAAAAATTATTGCTGAAAAATATTTTTTTTATAATTCTCCTCTCAGGGTCTGTAAGAAATCTTTTGGTAGTTTGTATGCACTTTTTTAGGTAGGAAATTCCTGAGGACGCCTAAGCGGAATTTATGTTGTTGGTTTCTCTAGCACTTCTTTGGGTAACCGGTAGAGGATCTCACTTGGGTTCGTTAGGTTATTTTTTCTTGTCGTTTTCATTGAGCCTCGTTCAGTCTCAACAGGATATTATTCAGAGACACCTTCTAGATGGCTTCGCAATACCTCTTGTCAGTGCCTGAAATCTTGAAGGTGGATTGTTATACTTACAAATGTGCCACCCTGGGAAAGCCACCATAACATTTATTCTCCTTCGCCAATTGCTCCGAACATTTTCCACTCTTGGCATCTGTCTGCTCGAAACGCGAATGCATATCATTATTGTGTAAAACGATGAATTCGGTAGCCACTTCGGCGGGTGCTTTGGTGGGAAAAGCATCCAGCCTGCCGAACAGTAAGCAAATTAGAATGACACCCAATCCGGGTAATATATGGATGGTTTTCATTTTGATTTTGAAAATTGAATCTGTACAATATTTTTACGTTCGAAGCAGGTACGTAGCGTTCGATTTCTTAAATCTGACTGATATCTGTTATTTAGAAAAATATACAAATGGGGGGGCTAAACAAAAAATATTGAAAATAGCAACAATGGTTTCAAAATTTTATTCGATTTTTTTGTTTGTTTTGAAAACCTTAACCTTAGTTCGTCAGCCTAATTGAATTCTGATAAGGGAGATTTTTGGGCAATTGTCTTAATTGCTGAGGTTGTTTTGAAATGGGAGGAACAGTGGGTAGTGGTTAGAATGGACAATTTTGGACCTCCACTGAGGCTAGAAAATTAATTTAAAAAATCCACGCCTTTTGGACCTCCACTGAGGCTAGAAATTTAATTTAAAAAATCCACGCCTTTAGACCTCCACCTCCACTAGAAAATTAATTTAAAAAATCCACGCCTTTAGACCTCCACTAGAAAATTAATTTAAAAAATCCACGCCTTTTGGACCTCCATCTCCACTAGAAAATTAATTTAAAAACTCCACGCCTTTTGGACCTCCACTGAGGCTAAAGGCCCTTAGACCTCCACTAGAAAATTAATTTAAAAAATCCACGCCTTTTGGACCTCCACCTCCACTAGAAAATTAATTTAAAAAATCCACGCCTTTTGGACCTCCACTGAGGCTAGAAAATTAATTTAAAAAATCCACGCCTTTTGGACCTCCACTGAGGCTAGAAAAGTTCATTTAAAAAATCCACGCCTTTTGGACCTCGAATGAAGTTAGAAAATTAATTTAAAAAATCCACGCCTTTTGGACCTCGAATGAAGTTAGAAAATTAATTTAAAAAATCCACGCCTTTGGACCTCCACTGAGGCTAGGAAATTTATTTAAAAATCCACGCCTCTAAGGCTAGAAAAATTAATTTTAAATCCCGGCCTCTAAGACTTTGTCATGGGGATAATATACCTCTGACCCACCATAAGGCGTGGATTTTTTAAAGAATATTTTTTTCGAGCTACCATAGGGCGTGGATTTTTTAAAGAATATTTTTTTCGAGCTACCATAAGGCGTGGATTTTTTAAAGAATATTTTTTTCGAGCTACCATAAGGCGTGGATTTTTTAAAGAATATTTTTTTCGAGCTACCATAAGGCGTGGATTTTTTAAAGAATATTTTTTTCGAGCTACCATAAGGCGTGGATTTTTTAAAGAATATTTTTTTCGAGCTACCATAAGGCGTGGATTTTTTAAAGAATATTTTTTTCGAGGTACCAGAAGCCAATGTGGAAGTGTTGGGCGCCAGTAAAACTATATACACGAACCCATAGGCAGGGACTATATGCAGAAAAGCAAAAAGAAATAAACCAATCGAACAGAAGGCTCATTGCGAGTTGAGTGCCATGGCGTCCATAGTGATAGGCTGTCATCCAAGCAGTACATGTGCAACAACTAAGGTCCTGAGACCTTACCTGGACGACCCTTAAACCAATGAAACAACTACAACTTCTTATCTGCATCTTTATTCTTTTAAAAATTTGCAAACACTTCGTCTTACATCTCTACATTTTTTCTTCACTCGGCAATTTTTTGAATAATTGTAATTCTATCCTCAACACCGGGATAAATGAAATCATGACCCTTGAGATATATCGATAAAACATCAACCTCCTTACTCTTCATATGTTGCGCCTGACCAGGATTATCTTCAAAGAATTTATAACCATCACCTTCATTGAGGAGGTAACGCGATATAATCACATTATAGAATTTCTTCTCATCCAGCGGTTCATAGATGGGAGTGGCACAGGCAGCACAACGGATATCAGCGGTAACAACTCGGCTACCAACAGGATTATTGTAATCATAGGTGACATGGACTCCGGACATGTGTAAAAATCCAGTGGGTTCCTTTTTCTCAACCATCGAGGCAGAGTGTTCCAAGGCTGCGAGTAGGGTTTTGCCACTAATCTTCGAGACATACAAATCGTTGTTGTGACGCAACACATTGCTGACATCTTTGGCGGTGATTGTACCATCGGAACGGGGTTCAATGCCATCACGCATGCCTCCGGCCTGAACAAAGGCCACTGCGGCATCTGTCCAATAAGTACCGCCCAAATCTTCCAAAACGCGAGCATGGACCATGGCATCGGTGACCAAGTTGCCCAAATTACATTCCCGGAAATGGCATACCTCGGCACGACCATCGATGAATACCATCGTGTGGCCCACAACATCATTTTCCAATTTTGCCACTTCGGGGCGATAGACTTCCAATAATTCCAAGACATCGGTTTCTCTGGGTATTTCAGCATTGAGAAGAATCGGAGTGCCATCAAATTTAATTAAATTACCATCCTTGTCGAACTGCAAAAAAGGAGGAAAAATCTTGAAATCCCTTTTCCATGGGTTTTTATAGGGTTCCTCTTACCTGTACATGCAATTTCCCTAAGTATTTGGTATAGGCATAGGCCTGCACCACTGGCACCTGTTTGCCACTGGTCTGATTCACCAATGTGGGATAGGGTCCATCAATATTTTCAATATCTGGCTGTTCGGAATTATACAAAAATGTATTGGTATGGCCACCAATGACAAGATCCACCTCGGGGCATTTGGCAGCAATTTCCTGATCTTTTTCATAGCCCGAATGGCCCACAGCGATGATAATGTTGATGCCCTGGGCCTTAAGGTTCTCAGCTTCGCGGCTAAAATGGAAAATATATGGTAAATAATTTAAGGCATAATAAAGTCGTCTCCAAATTCTGCTTGCAAAGAGTCCCTACTTCGAACTATCAAGAATTTATAGAGAACCTAGAATTATGTCCCCATAAAGATCAACCCAATTAGCAGTGCCTTGATCAACCGCTCGTGTGAAAGCCTCCCTGATGCTCAGGGAAGTCAATATTATATTCATGTATCTAGTATTAATTCTCCTTGGGGTCTAACTGATCTCGATTAAGATACTGGAAAATAGACTTTGAAAACTCCATAGACCCTAAGTGGACTACGTAAATGGCGCCCAACTGATTGTCTGGCCTTCAAAAATTGTAAATATGAAGTATTATATTTTCAAGATTTATACTTGTGTCTTCTTTGAAATGGACTCTCAGCTGATCGTCTAACTGGCGCCCAAATTATTCTTTAAAGAATTGTTTGGCGCCCAACTCGTCGTTACGCACTACCGGACTTTCAACTTATCTAAACAGAGTGCCAGGATTTCGACACACATTTAGAAGCTCTTCATTATTTAATTTGTACAAATATAATCCCCTTGAATCTGAGCTGTAGGATATCGGTTAAAATCGTCGATGGACTGTAAATCATACATAAAAATACTTCCTGGACTCTATTCTATCTCTATAGACTTCCAGGGCTTTTATAGAGAAACTGAGGTTTAGAGAGTCTTTTATAAAAGTCCGCATAACCTTTGTAGGCCAAATAAAGACTGGAGAGATTTTCACAGGCTGGCTAAAGTGATCGGAAGGAATCTCAAAGCAGTTCGGTCAGAAAATCTTTCATAGTCTAGACAACTATGAGAATGGAAGAGGCCTTTACAATGTATTTAGCAAGAGAACAGAAGTCAGGGTGTTGATGGTCTAAATGGCGCCCGAATTATTCTCTAAGGAATTTCCGGAGCCCAACTCGTCGGTACGCCCAACTGGGCTTTAAAATTATCTAAACAGATTGCCAGGATTTCAACAGACATTTATGGACTCTATTCCATCTCTATAGGTTTCCAGGCCTTTCATAGAGGAACTGAGGTTTAGAGAGTCTTTTATAAAAGTCCGCAAAACCGTTGTAGACCAAATAAAGATCGGTGAGATTTTCACAAGGGAGCTAAAGTCAGAGAGAGCTTCAGGAACTATTTCATAGATTGTAGCATTTTCTGAGTCTGAAGAGTGATCGGAAGGACTCTCAAAGTTGAGCTATGATTCCTTGGGCAGACTGAAAGTCATTTCATAGTCTAGACAACTATTAGGATGGAAGAGGCCTTCACAATGTATTTAGCAAGGGAACAGAATTCAGTGTGTTGATGATCTAAATGGCGCCCAAATTATTCTCTAAGGAATTTCTGGCGCTCAACTCGTCGGCACGCCCAACTGGGCTTTCAAATTATCTAAACAGATTTGTCTAAATATAATCTCTGACTCTGAGCTGTAGTACATCAGTTCTGGACTCTATTCCATATCTATAGGTTTCCAGGCCTTTCATAGAGGAACTGAGGATTAGGGAGTCATTTACTATAGACCGTTTAACCGTTGTAGACCAAATAAAGACCGAAGGGATTTTCACAGGCGAGCCAAAGTCAAAGAGACCCTCAAGAATTAGTTCATGCCATTGTCTGAGGCTAAAGAGTGACCAGAGGGTCTCCCAGAAGCGAACTAAGATTTCTTGAGCAGTTCGAATAGAAAGTCTTTCATAATCTAGATGATCTGAGGATGGTAGAACCCTTCACAATGTATTTAGCAAGAGAACAGAAGTCAGGGTGCTCATCATGGATTTTTTCAAAAAAAAAAAAAACCTACGCTTTAGGGAATTGTTCATAGAATTCACAAATTGAGTTCGAGGTCGATCATAGTCAGGTTAAATTTTCGCACAATTTCCTCGAAGTCTTCGTATAAACATGCTTCTATTTCTTCTTATAAAGCCACATAAACCACAACTACTTACTTGATGGCTTCGATTTCATCGGTGAATATGTTCTCCTTTGTCATTGTCAGTTCAAAGGTATCGGGTGTAATATAACCAATAACGCCAACCTTCACACCGTTCACATCCAATACTGTGGAATTTTGTAAATGTTTGGTTTTTCTTAGTTCCGGGGTGGCGGAGAGATCCAAATTAGCTGCAACAATGGGGAAATCCACCTTTTCCAAGAAAGGCACCAGCCCAGGTATACCAGTATTAAATTCATGATTACCCAAGGACTAAAAACAAGGTGGAAATACATTTAGTTGAGAGTTCAGATAAAATTGGAGAAAGAGAGAGTGAGGGAGGAAAACTTACCGCTGCATCGGGTAATAATTTATTGAGAAAAGCCGTTGCAATGTCATCTTTAAAGCGGAAATACCAAATTGTACCCGCCGAAGTATCACCGGCATTCAAATAGACGACAGGCATACCACCTTCCTCTGCCTCCTTGCGGTATTTGCGAACTCTGGAATGAAAGGGTTTGAGGAAAAATTATGGGACTCATTATTAAAAGGTTAATAGATGGGGGAAGAGGTATGAGCTGCCTTAATGGTAATGGTGAAACATAAGGGCAGAGTAGCTATGTTCTGTCCTCTAAAAAATAATGCTGGCAAATATTTTTTCTTTTTGAAATTATATTTTAGTGTTCGCTAGGCAGGCATTGTGGATGTCGGAACATAATAGATGTTTCTGGGTTTTAGGTACTCCTATGGGCAGGCTTTAGAGGCTACCAGTTAGGCTTGCGTTAGGTAATTATTTCTTCTTGTCGTTTTCATTGAGACTCGCACAGTTTAGTCCCAACAGGATATTATTCAGAGTCACCTTCTAGATGTCTTCGTAATACCTCCTGTTAGTGCCTGAAAACATAGAGGAAGGATTGAATTTGATTGTTTTCTACTTACAAATGTGCCACCCTGGCAAAGCCACCATAACATTTATCCTCCTTTGCCAATTGCTCCGCACATTTGCCACTCTTGGCATCTGTCTGTTCAAAACGCGAATGCATATCATTATTGTGTAAAATAATAAATTCACTAGCAACTTCGGCCGGTTGGTTGGTGGGAAAAGCATCCAGCCTGCCGAACACTAGGCAAACTAGAATTAAACCGAATCCTGTTAAGGTTTTCATTTTTTTTTAAATTTCGAAAGTGTTGTGCTGTATTGCCACTTCCACTTCCAGATTCACTATGATGACAGCTATGTATGATTCGGTTCTTAAATATGTCTGAGATGTGTGTAGGAATTAGAAACGTTTCCGAATGCCGCCAAACAAAATATTAAAAATATCAACAACAGTTGTTTCAAAATTTTTTTTTCGATTTTTTGTTAGTGTAACTTAACCTCTGTTTGTTGCCCTCATTAAATTTTTGATAAGACAGATTTTTTTTTTTATTTTGGGTAATTGTCTAGTAATCTAGTTTTTGAGATTTGTGTATGCTAAGGAAATAGGCAATAGGGGAGTGATTAAAATAGATAATAATAAAAGAATTATTCAAAATTCACACCTTAGGACCATGGAAGTGACTATAAACATGTTTTAAAAATCCACGCCTTAGGATCATCGACTCCCGCCTTAGCATAAAAAGAGCCACAATCATGAATTTCAAACTACAAGCCTTTGAGCCATCAAAAATGTCTCATTTTTAAGTCTGTTATTGTTTTGGAGACCAAAGACCTGGATTATGACTTCTGTCGTGAACTCCCTCTGCCCAATCATTAATGAAAACCCCATATTGGTTAAGCGGCTCATCAGGCATATTGAGCAATGTGGCTTACAAATGTCGTTACTTGATAAGTTGTATTTATGTCGAATATTGTTGCAAAATTGCATCTACGAATTAAATTCAACCGTGTTCGGACATTTGGCATCACACCAGAACATTCCTTTTCAGAGCAGATTTTTCTTGTAGTGACGGACTTTTTTGTTTCCATACAGACTACAATATTTTTTCTTCAATAGTATACAACTGCATATTGTGCAACCTTAGGATGATAAGGAGGTGGCTTTGAACGCTAAGGCGCCGGACTCGTCGTTACGCACTACCGGACTTTCAACTTATCTAAACATAATGCCTGGATTTCAACTCACATTTATAGGCTCAACATTATTTAATTTGTCTAAATATAATCTTCCTGAATCTGAGCTGTAGGACTTCGGTTAAAATCGTCGATGGACTGTAAATCATACATAAAAAACTTCCTGGACTCTGTTCCATCTCTATAGACTTCCAGGGTGTTCATAGAGGAACTGAGGTTTAGAGAGTCTTATTTAAGTCCGCATAACCGTTGTACATCAAATAAAGACCGGATATATTATCACAGGCGAACTAATGCCAGGGAGACCCTCAGGAATTATTTCATAGACTGTAGCATTATCTGAGGCTGAAGAGTGATGGGAAGGCTCTCAAAGGTGAGCAAAGGTGATTTCTTGAGCAGTTCAGACGGAAAGTCTTTCATAGTCTAGAAGCTTTGAGGATGGGAGAGAACTTCACAATGTTTTTAGCAAGGGAACAGACGTCAGGGTGTTGATGGTCTAAATGGCGCCCAAATTATTCTCTAAGGAATTTCCAACTCGTCGGCACGCTCAACTGGCTTTGAACGCTAAGGCGCCGGACAACAATCAACAGATGCCATGGGAACCAGGGTTCAAATCCCAGCCGCGCTCAAACAGAATTTAAATTTGAATTGTACCCGAGGGGAACAATTATGAATTTCAAAATGCAAACCTTTGAGCCATTAAAAATTATAACAGATAATAATAATAATATTGAAATTCACACCTTAGGACCATGGAATTGCCTATAAACATGTTTTAAAAATCCACGCCTTAGGATCATCGATTCACACCTTAGTATATAAATAGTCACGATCATAAATTTCGAACTGCAAGCCTTTGAGCCATCAAAGATGTCTCATTTTTAAGTCTGTTGTTTTTGGGGAGACCAAAGACTTGGAATATGCGTTTTGTCCTCTTAGGAAATCTATTTCTTTGCTTGTAACCGAAGGCTTTGTCTCCTACTCACTAGCTGATGTTTGAATTGTTCCCATGGGGGAGACAATTTCAGCCAACAGCTTCTTGAGGATTTCTCCCTGAGGAAATTCTCCCTTACTACTTAGCTTTAGTTTGAATTTGTCTGCCATGAGGAGACAAATTTAGCTACCAGCTTCTTAGGGACTTCGATGACGAATCAATAGGATCTGTAGGTTATCATTCTTGCAGCAGCTGATCCACAGTGTAATGATGCATTCAGTCTTTAGAGCTCTTTCTTTAAGTTTCCGATTTCAATGTTACCTTAAACTGGAACAAGTCTAGTATAGGGGCTCCACTCGGATCGGATTGAAATTGCTCGTAAAAAAGGAGTTGAAGTGCGTAGCCATGTATGCGCCTGTCTATAGGTGATAGTCTTAAGACCCGGTCGAAGCCCGGCTACTCAGAAAACCCTAAATTTGATTTTGAAATTGCTACTGAAAAAGGATTGATCTTGAAAAGGTTGGCTACTTAAATTGGAAACACGAGAATTCATGCCCTGCATGCTATGTTTATGCTTTTTTTTGGGAAAGTACTCGTTATAAGCGTTATAAAATGATACCCATCTTCAAGATCAAGATATGCTCCGAACTTTCAAGGTCCATATCTCGGGAAATATGCATTTCCCCCACATAAAATATATATCACAGTAATCAGCTCAACAAGGACTACTTACGGTAAAAATTTTAAAGCGATCCGAGAGAAGCTCCTAAACTAGACTTAAGCCCCTTAAACTACTACATAGCAGAGCTCGTCTCTGTAGTGCTTCCTGGTCACTTTTGATCAAGATTGCGGTTCCTTACACTTGATTGCTGGCATCTTCCTCTTCTTATTATCGGATTATTCCTATTATGATTCCCAGTTACAGACAATTTTATGACTAACCTCGTCATCTTTGTTGATATCTTTCAATAGATTCTCGAAGTGGGAATGCAGCGGCTTTCGTATTTATGTACTGTACAAACTTTCTGAAAATATTATTCTTTTACTTGCGGTTCCTTACAATTGATTGCTGGCATCTTCCTCTTCCTTATTATCGGATTATTCCTATTATGATTCCCAGTTACGGAAAATTTCTTGACTAACCTCGTCAACTATGTTGCTCTCTTTCAGCTACCAGCTTCTTTATGACTTCGTTAACGAATCACGAGGATCTATAGCTTGGCTTTCTTGCATCAGTGGATCAAGGGTATTATTATTAAGACCATAATTGAAGTTCCTCACTTAACTTGCCGAATTCAATTATTCCTATTATGATTTCCAGTTACGGACAATTTCATGACTAATCTCGTCATCTTTGTTGGTTTTTTTTCAATGGATTCTCGAAACCGGCTCTATTGACTTGGGAATGCAGCGGCTTTCGTATTTATGTACTGTATAAACTGTCAGACAATACTATTATTTTACTTGCGCATCTTTACAATTGATTGCTGTCGTCTTCCTCTTCCTTATTATCTGAGATTTTTCTATTAGGATTTCCAGCTAGGGAAAATTCCATGACTAAGCTCGTCATCTATGTTGCTCTTTTTCAATGAATTTTCCGAACAGTCTCTATTGAGTTGGGAATGCAGCGTTTTCCATAACGCATTTTTGAACTGTACAAACTTTTTGAAAATATTATTCTTTTACTTTATTCCTTACAATTGAATGCTTCCTCTTCCTTACTATCTGAGTATTTCTATTAGGATTCCCAGTTACAGAAAATTCCATGACTGAGCTTGTCATCTTTGTTGCTCTCTTTCAATAGATTCTCGAAACCGGCTCCATTAACTTCGGAATGCTGCGGCTTTCATAACGTATTTATGTACTGTACACACTTTCTGAAAATATTATTCGTTTACTTACTTGATTGCTTCATTTTCATCACTGAATATGTCCTCCTTTGTCATCGTAAGATCCAAAGTATCGGATGTAATGTCGCCAATTACGCCAACCTTTGCACCTTTCACATAAAAACCTGCAGAGTTGTGTAAACGTTTGATATGCCTTAGTTTTGGGGTACTGTACACAATTTCCAAATTGGGCGTCACAATTTGGAAAATCTAACTTAACCAAGAAAGGCAGTAGCTTGGGTACACCCGAATCAAATTCATGATGTCCCAAGGACATATATAAAACAACTATATGAAACAAATTCTATTGAGAGTTAAGATAAAATTTGAGAGAGAGAAGGAGAGAGTGAAAGAAAGGGAGTATGTATTGTATGGAAGAGTGATTGAGAGGATACTGCAGCATCGGGTAATAATTTATTGAGAAAGACCATTGCAATATCACCTTTAAAACGGAAATACCAAGCTGCATTCACCCGAAGGTTATTCCTATTAGGATTCCTAGAATTAGCGTGTCTCCTCTATTGAATTGGGAATGGCGCATTTTGCGTATCGCATTTATGTACTGTACAAACATTCTGAAGGTGTTCTCCAAAGCCGTTGACAGCTTAGTATTTTATCTTCATCGAATATCTTGCCATTCAAATGGCCATTTACAGTTAATTAAAAAAAACAAATGAATTATTAGTGTCTATGTACTCATATTTCGAAAGTAACGAAGATGTCCGATAATCTATTTTTTTTTTTTTAATATAATTTTCTTGAAATGATCATCGTTCACGATCACTGGCTCAAGAGCGCGTGTTTGATCTGTTTTGACGTTTATGATTGATACAATTCGGGCAGATGTTTATATGACACAGAGAAGCCAAAGGCTATGTAGAGATAATGCAGCTCAGGAAGTATTTCCGCTCGATTATAGTCGCAGCATCAAGACAAACATGTTTTTCAACGCCGAGTCTAAACAATATTTTATAGCCAAGCTGACGTCGAAAGAAACTTTCGTATATGAACTGGAGTCTGGAGTTTGGCCGCGTCAATCCAAATACAATAGGCATTTCAATTGGGCGCCAGTAGGACAATAACAAAAGACTGAGTTGTAGGTGTCCGCATTGAATAAATGAATTGCGGCGTGCCAATGTAGAGGAGCTGAAAAGTCCGAAATATGTGTAGACATGATAAAAGCTAGTAGGCCTATGAACATGTAAAATGGAAAAATTCCACCAAGCCTCTATTGACGTCATCTTAGACTTCAGCTCGGCATTGAAAAACATGTTTGTTTTTTGAGCCTGCTTCATGCGACGAGCGGAAATACTTCCTGAAGTTCTTTATCTCCACATAGACTTTGGCTTGTCTGTGTCATATAAACAATTTGCACGTGTTGTAGTAATCATAGATGTAAAGAAACAGATCGACACGCGCTCTTGAACCGCAGACCGTAAACAACACGCAAAGATGACCATTTCAAGGAGATTCTATTTAGAATTTAAAAACTTAATAGATTATCGGACATCTTCATCTTATTTTTTTATTGACTGTAAAGGGTAATTTAGAAGTCTGAAGAGGCTGTCAACGGCTTTGGTGAACATCTTCAGAATATTTGTACAGTACATAAATGCAATACGCAAACCGCGTTATTCAATAGAGACAGTCACGCGAATCAGGGTAAACCAACTGATTCGAATACCAAGATGCCGAACACAGTCTCAAAATTTACCGTAGAGTCTTGGAATCCTAATAGGAATAATATGATGTGCAACTGTCTTTCTCAATAAATTTATACCCGATGCTGTGGCAAAAAGTCTTCCTTCCTTTCATTCTCTCTTTCTCTCTCCGATTTTTACTATCTCTCAAAATAACTTATTTCATAAATTTGTGTTTTTCTAGTCCTTTGGTAATCATGAATTTGATTCCGTGTTACCGGGGTGCTTCCTTTCTCGATTTCTCAATTGTGGCGCCCAACGTGTACCTCTCCAATACCTTTACGTAAAGTCTAGGAATCCTAATAGGAATAAACTTCGGGTGAATGCAGCTTGGTATTTCTATTTTAAAGGTGATATTGCAATGGCCTTTCTCAATAAATTGATAGAAATTCTCCCTTCCTTGCACTCTTTCGTTCTCTCTCCGAGTTTTGCCTTATCTCTCAACAGAATTTATTTCATAATTTTTTTATTTTTCTAGTTCTTCGGTAATCATGAATATATTTTCGGTGTTCCCGAGGTGTTGGCTTTCTCGATTTCTCAATTGTGGTGCCCAAATTGTATCTCTCCAATACCTAGCTTGGTATTGCCGGTGATATTTAAAGGTGATATTGCTATGGTCTTTGTCAATGAATTATTACCAATACATATTCCCTGTCTTGCACTCTCTCCTTCTCTCTCAATTTTTTTCTTAACTCTCAATAGAATTGATTTCCTATAGTTTTATTTTATTTATGTCCTTGGGACATCATAAATTTGAATCGGATGTAACCGGGCTGCTGCCTGCCTTGGATAAGGTAGATTTCCCAAATTGTGGCGCCCAATTTAGAACTTGTGTACAGTACCCCAAAACTGAGGTATATCAAACGTTTACAAAATTCTGCAGGTTTTCATTTCAAATTTGTGAAGATTGGCGTCATTGGTTACATTACATCCGATACTTTGGATCTTACAATTACAAAGGAGGACATATTCCCGGATGAATTTAAAGCAATCAAGTAAGTAGTAAGAATAATATTTTCAGAAAGTTTGTACAGTACATAAATGCGTTATGAAAGCCGCTACATTCCCAAGTCAATAGAGCCGGTTTCGAGAATTCATTGAAAGAGAACAAGAAAAATGACAAGCTCAGTCATGGAATTTTCCCTAGCTGGGAATCCTAATAGGAATAGTCAGATAAAAAGGAAGAGGAAGCTGCCAGCAAATTAATTGTAAGGAACTGCAAGTAAAATAATATTTTTTCGGAAACTTTATACAGTACATAAATACGTTATGAAAGCCGCTGCATACCCAAATCAATAGAGCCGGATTCGAGAATCCATTGAAAGAGAGCAACAAAGACGAGGAGGTTACTTATGAAATTGTCCGTAACTGGGAATCCTAAAAGAAATAATCAGATAATAAGGAAGATGAACATGAAGTTTGTACAGTACATAAATACGAAAGCCGATGCATTCCCAAGTCAATGGATCCGGTTTCGAGAATACATTGAAAGAGAGCAACAAAGATGACGAGGTTAGTCATGAAATTGTCTGTAACTGGGAATCATAATAGGAATAATCCGATAATAAGGAAGAGGGAGATGTCAGCAAATCAATTTTAAGGAACGACAAGTAAAGAAATATTTTTTCAGAAAGTTTATACAGTACATAAATACGAAAACCGCTACATTCCCAAGTCAATACAGGCTGTTCGGAAAATTCATTGAAAGAGAGCAACATAGATGGCGAGCTCAGTCATGGAATTTTCCATAGCTTTGAATCCTAATAGGAATAATCAGATAATAGGGAAGAGGAAGATGACAGCATTCAATTGTAAGGAACTGCAAGTAAAAGAATAATTTTTTCGGAAAGTGTGTACAGTACATAAATACGAAAGCCACTGCACTCCAAAGTCAATAGAGTCGATTTCGAGAATCCATTGAAAGAGAGCAACATAAATGGCGAGCTCAGTCATGGAATTTTCCCTAGCTGGGAATCCTAATAGGAATAATCAGATAATAAGGAAGAGGAAGATTACAGCATTCAATTGTAATATTTTCAGAAAGTTTGTACAGTACATAAACACGAATAGAGCCGGTTTCGAGAATCCATTGAAAAATAGCAACAAAGATGACGAGCTCAGTCATGAAATTGTCTGTAACTGGGAATTATAATAGGAATAATCCGATAATAAGGAAGAGGAAGGTGCCAGCAATCAGCAATTGTAAGGAACCGCAAGTAAAAGAATATTTTTTTCGGAAAATTTCCCAAAGTCAATAGATCCGGATTCGAGAATTCATTGAAAGATGGCAACAAAGATGACGGGGTTAGTCATGAAATTGTCCGTAACTGGGAATCATAATAGGAATAAACCGATAATAAGGAGGAGGAAGATGCCAGCAATTAATTGTAGGGAACCGTAAGTAAAAGAATAATATTGCCGGACAGTTTGTACAGTACATAACTACGTACGCAGCTGCATTCCCAATTCGAGAATCCATTAAAAGAGAGCAACAAAGATGACGAGGTTAGTCATGAAATTGTCGGTGACCGGGAATCATAATAGGAATAATCAAATAATAAGGAAGAGGAAGATTCCAGCAAATTCTTTGTTAGGAACCGCAATCTTGTTCAAAAGTGGCCAGGAAGCACTACACAGACGAGCTCTGTTATGAGGTTATTAAAGGTAACATTGAATTCGGCAAGTTAAGTGAAGAACTTCAAAGATGGAATTAATAATAATAATACCCTGGATCCGCTGATGCAAAAAAGCCAAACTCTAGATCCTATTAATTCACCAACGAAGTCCCTAAGAAGCTGGTTACTGAAATTGCTATGCCATGGAAACAATTCAAAATAAAGCTAAGGAGTAAGGGAGAAATCCTCAATAAGCTGTTGGCTGAAATTGTCTCCCCATGGGAACAATTCAAACATCATCAGCTAGTGAGTAGGAGACAAAGCCTTCAGTTACAAGCAAAGAAATAGATTTCCTAAGAGGACAAAACGCATATTCCAAGACTTTGGTCTCCCAAAACAACAGAGTTAAAATGCAGGCATCTTTGATGGCTCAAAGGCTATTAGTTTGAAATTCATAATCGTGGCTATTTATATACTAAGGTGTGAGTCGATGATCCTAAGCCGGGGATTTTTAACCGATTTTTATAGCCACTTCCATGGTCCTAAGGTGTGAATTTCAATATTTTGATTATCTGTTATTATTTTACATGGCTCAAAGGCTATTTTAGTCCTAAAGGTTGAATCGATGATCCTAAGTTGTGAATTTTTAAATAATTTTTATAGCCACTTCCATGGTCCTAATATTTTGCAATATTTTTTTATTATCTGTTAAAATAGTTGACGGTTCAAAGGCTTTTTCTTTGAAATTCATGATCGTGGCTCTTTTTATCCTAAGGCATGAATCGATGATCCTAAGGCGTGGACTTTTAAAACATTTCTATAGCCACTTCCATGGTCCCAAGGTGTGAATTTCAGTAATTGTATTTTTTTTTATTATTTATTATAATCACTACCCTATTTTCTAAGCCTAAAATAATCTCAACAAATATTTACTAGCCAAAACCAAAAAAAAATCTGTCTTATCAAAAATCTAATGAGGGCGACAAACAATCGAATAAAATTTGAAACAACTGTTGTTTTTTTTTTTTCAATATTTTGTTTGGCAGCATTTGAAAAAATTTCTAATTCCTACACACATCCCAGTCATGTTTAAGAACCCGACGGCAGCATAGCAAACCTCAAAGTCAATCTGGAAGTGGAAGTGAAGATACATCACAAAATTTTCGAAATTAAAAGAAATAAAAAAATTTAACCAGGACTGAGTTTAATTCGAATTTGCCTACTGTTCGGCTGGCTGGATGCTTTTCCCACCAACGCACCTGTCGAAAAGGCTAACAAAAAATCGAATAAAATTTTGAAACAACTGTTGTTTTTCTTTCAATATTTTGTTTGACGGCATTTGGAAACTTTTCTAATTCCTACACACACCTCAGACATATTTAAGAACTGAACCATACATAGCTGTCATCATAGTGAATCTGGAAGTGGAAGTGACAATACAGCACAACACTTTCGAAAAGAAAAAAAATTGAAAACATTAACAGGATTCGGTTTAATTCTAGTTTGCCTACTGTTCGGCAGACTGGATGCTTTTCCCACCAACACACCTGCCGAAGTGACTACCGAATTTATTATTTTACACAGTAATGATAGGTATTCGTGATTTGAGCAGACAAATGCCAAGAGTGGCAAATGTACGGAGCAATTGGCAAAGGAGGATAAATGTTATGGTGGCTTTGTCAGGGTGGCACATTTGTAAGTAGAAAATAATCAAATTCAATCCTTCCTCTATGGTTTCCGGCACTAACAAGAGGTATTGCAAAGTCATCTAGAAGGTGGCTCTGAATAATATCCAGTTGAGACTGAACTGTGCGAATCTCAATGAAAACAACAAGAAGAAAAAATTAGCAAGAAGAGACTAACTGAAAGCCTCTAAAGCCTGCCCATAGGAGTACCTAAAAACCAGAAATATCAATTATGTTCCGACATCCACAATGCCTTCCCAGCGAACGCTAAACTATAATTTCAAAAGAAAGAAAATATTTGTCAGCATTAATTTTTAGAGGACAGAACATAGATACTCTGCCCTTATCCTTTGTTACCCCTAGGGCATCTCATGCCTCTTCCCCATCTAATTACCTTTTAATAATGAGTCCCATATTTTTTCCTCAAACCTTTTCATTCCAGAGTTCGCAAATACCGCAAGGAGGCCCAGGAAGGTGGTATGCCTGTCGTCTATTTGAATGCCGGTTATACTTCGGCGGGTACAATTTGATATTTCCGCTTTAAAGATGACATTGCAACGGCTTTTCTCAATAAATTATTAACCGATGCTGCGGTAAGTTCCTGCTCCACTTTCCTCCCTCTATTTTTCACCAAGTTTATCTGAACTCTGAACAAAATATATTTTCACCCTGTTTTTAGTCCTTGGATAATCATGAATTTAACACTGGTATACCTGGACTATGGTGCCTTTCTTGGAAAAAGTAGACTTCCCCATTGTTGCAGCCAATTTGGATCTCTCCGCCACTCCGGAACTAAGAAAAACTAAAACCTTACAAAATTCCACTGTATTGGATGTGAACAGTGTGAAGGTTGGCGTGATTGGTTTTATTACACCCGATTTTTTTGATCTGACAATGACAAAGGAGAACATATTCACCGATGAAATCGAAGCAATCAAGTAAGTAGTTGTGGTTTATGAGCAGTTCGGACAGAAAGTCTAGACAACTATGAGAATGGAAGAGGCCTTCACAATGTATTTAGCAAGAGAACAGAAGTCAAAGTGTGGATCATGGTTAAATGGTTAAATTTAAATGGTTAAATTTTCGCACAATTTTCTCAAACTCTTCGTATAAACATGCTTCTATTTCTTCTTCTAGAGAACTGGTTTAAGAAGAAATAGGAGCATGTTTATACGAAGAGTTCGAAGAAATTGTGAGAAAATTTAACTCGTCTATGATAGACCAACTCGATTTGAGAAATCTATAAACGAATACCTGAACTTCAGCTCTTTTTTGATAGAATCCATGATCAACACCCTGACATCTGTTCTCTTACTAAAAACATTGTGAAGGCCTCTTCCATCCTCATAGTTGCCTCGACTATGAAAGACTTTCTGACCGAACTTCTCAAGCAATCATACCTCACCTTTGCGAATCCTTCCGATCACTCTTCAGCCTCTGATAATGCTAAAATCTATGAAATAGTTCCTGAGGCTTTCTCTGACTTTAGCTTCTTTGTGAAAATCTCTCCGGTCTTTATTTGGTCTACAAAGGTTTTGCTGACTTTTATAAAAGACTCTCTACACCTCAGTTCCTCTATGAAAGCCCTGGAAGTCTATAGGGATGGAATAGAGTCCAGAAAGCATTCATGTATGATTTGCAGAGCACGCACATGAACAGAACTGATGTCCTACAGTTCATAGTCAGAGATTATATTTAAACAAATTAAATAATGTAGAGCCCATAAATGTGCGTTGAAATTCTGGCAATCTGTTTAGATAATTTGAAAGCCTAGTTGGGCGTGCCGACGAGTTGGGCTCCAGAAATTCATTAGAGAATAATTTGGGCGCCATTTAGACCATCAACACCCTGACTTCTGTTCTCTTGCTAAAAACATTGTGAAGGTCTCTTCCATTCTCATAATTGACTAGACTATGAAAGACTTTCTGACCGAACTGCTCAAGAAATCATAGCTCAACTTTGAGAGTCCTTCCGATCACTCTTCAGCCCCAGATAATGCTATAATCTATGAAATAGTTCCTGAGGGTCTCTCTGACTTTACCTCCCTTGTGCAAATCTCTCCGGTTTTTTATTTGGTCTACAACGGTTTTGCGGACTTTTACGTTTTTTTTATGGATAATTTGCAGTCCAGGGACGATTTGAACTGATGTCCTACAGCTCAGAGTCAGAGAATATATTTAGACACATTAAATAATGTAGAGCCCATAAATGTGTGTTGAAATCATGGCAATCTGTTTAGATAATTTGAAAGCCTAGTTGGGCGGGCGGACGAGTTGGACGCCAGAAATTCCTTAGAGAATAATTTGGGCGCCATTTAGACCATCAAGACCCTGACTTCTGTTCTCTTTCTAAATACATTGTGAAGGCCTCTTCCATTCTCATAGTTGTCTCGACTATGAAAGACTTTCTATTCGAACTGCTTAATGAATCATACATCACCTTTGAGAATCCTTCCGATCACTCTTCAGCCTCAGATAATGCTAAAATCTGTGAAATAGTTCCTGAGACTCTCTCTGATTTTAGCTCGCTTGTGAAAATCTCTTCGGTCTTTATTTGGTCTACAATGATTTTGTGGACTTTTATAAAAGACTCTCTAAACCTCAGTTCCTCTATGAAAGGCCTGGAAGTCTATAGAGATGGAATAGAGTCCAGGAAGTTTTTTTTTATGGATGATTTGCAGTTCGGGGACGATTTGAACTGATGTCCTACAGCTCAGATTCGGGGAGATTATATTTAGACAAATTAAATAATGAAGAGCCTCTAAATGTGTGTCCAAATCCTGGCAATCTGTTTAAGTTGAAAGTCCGGTAGTGCGTAACGACGAGTTGCGCGCCAAAAATTCTTTGGAGAATAATTTGGGCGCCAGTTAGACGATCAGCTGAGAGTTCATTTCAAAGAAGACACAATTATAAATCTTGAAAATATAATACTTCATATTTACAATTTTTGAAGGCCAGACAATCAGTTGGGCGCCATTTACATAGTTCATTCAGGGTCTATGGAGTTTTCAAAGATTTTTTTCCAGTATCTTAATATAGACCAGTTAGACTCCAGGGAGAATTAATTCTAGATACATTAATATATTATATTGACTCCCTAGACATTAGGGAGGCTTTTACACGAGCGGTTGATCAATGCACTGCTAATTGAGTTGATCTTTATGGGGAGACAATTCTAGGTTCTCTATAAAGACTTGATAGTTCGAAGTAGGGGCTATTTGTAAGCAGAATTTGAAGACGACTTTATTATGCCTTAAATTATTTACGCATTATATTTATTTTCAGCCGCGAAGTTGAGAACCTACAGGCTCAGGGTATCAACATAATCATCGCTGTTGGTCATTCAGGCTATGAAAAAGATCAGGAAATTGCTGCCAAATGTCCTGAGGTGGATCTTGTCATTGGTGGTCATACCAATACATTTTTATATAATTCCGAACAGCCAGATATTGAAAATATTGATGGACCCTATCCCACATTGGTGAATCAGATGAGTGGCAAACAGGTACCAGTGGTGTAGGCCTATGCCTATACCAAATACTTGAGCAAATTACATGTAAAGGTAAGATCTTGCAAAGAGGAAGAAATGGCGATTTAATGATTTTCTTCCCTTTGCAGTTCAACAAGAATGGTAATTTAATTAAATTCGATGGCACACCCATTCTTTTCAATTCGGAAATACCCAGAGAACCCGATGTATTGGAGTTATTGGAGGTATATCATACCGAAGTGGCAAAATTAGAAATTGATGGTATTGGTATGGTATTCATCGATGGCCGTGCAGAGTCAGTTTGTATCGACTCCCTGGCGCCCAACATTTTTATATTGAAATGCCTTGTTTCAGCTCATCTAAGAAGATGACCTGGTGTTCAACACTTCTACAGAAAACTCATGGACTTTAAAACTACCATACTGACTCTTAGGACCTCAACACACCTCTGTGCTCTTTAGCTGAGAGGTGTGGATTTTTTAAAGAATATTTTTTCTGAGTAGACCAAGGAGTGAATTTTTAAAGGATTTTTTTTTAAGTAGACCAAGGCGTGGATTTATTAAAAATTATTTTTCCGAGTAGACTATTTTATTAATAAGAATTTCTTCTAAATGATATAATTAAATAAATCTCTTCTTTTTCGCATAGCCATTACCATTCTCCATCGATTTCTGAATAATAGTAATACGATCCTCCACCATGGGAAAGACAAATTCATGTTTCTTTAAATATTGACTGAGAGCAGCGGCATCTTTGACCTGCATTCGCTGTGGCTTTGGACCATTTTCCTCAACAAATGTATAACCATCACCACCATTTGCCAAATACGATGGTACAATTACATTATAAAGTCTGCCCTCCTCCAGTGGTTCAAAGGTGGGTACATTACAATTGGCACAAAGGATCTCCGCTGTAACGACACGACTTCCTACGGGGTTATTATAATCATAGGTGGTGTGTATACCGGACATTTGTAGAAAACCTCCCTTGGATTCCGTTTCAATCATAGAGGCGGAGTGTTCGAGTACAGCTAAGAGGCTACGACCAGTTATTTGGCTGACATACAAGTCGTTTTTAAATGGCAGCACACTGGCCACATCGATGGCTAATATTGAGCCATCAGATCGCTTTTCGATTGAACTACGAATGCCTGGAAAAAAACAACAGAATTTTTAAGATTATCAAAGAAAATAATTTCAGAAACTATTCTAAAAATTATCAGATATTGTCTCAGAGAAGCTTCAGGATGTTTTCCCGATGATAAGGCATATTTAAGATTAGAAATCTTTGCCTAGAGGATTAACGATTTTTCTCCTAGAATATTATCTAGAAGCCCAAGAATCTTCTGCTCGCATGTCAAGAATTTTTCGATCAGGGATCATAGGAATATATTCTAGAAGATCAGAATATATAGGATCATCTCCTAGAATAGACCAGACTTTGAAAAGACATCCTTATTTACTATCAAAGGCCTCCTCAAGATGGATATTCACCAGGAAGATCAAAAACCTTCTTCTAGAGGATCACAGATCTTCTCCTACAAATATCAGATATCATTTCCAAGAAGATAACGATTTTCTCCAAAAAGATCAGAGATCTTCTCCAAGAAAATTAATGATTTTCGCCAAGAAGATCAGATATCGTCACCTAGCGGATCAAAGATCTCTTCTGAAAAATCAGAGATCATCTCCTAGAAGATCACAGATCTTCTTCATGAAGGTCAGAGGTCATATCCTAAAGGATCACAATTTTCTAGTAGAATATCAAAGATCTTTTCCAAGAAAATCAGAGATTTTCTTCTAGAAGATCAGAGATTTTCTCCTAGAAGGTCAGAGATTGTCTCCTAAAAGATCAGAGATCTTCTAGTAGAATATCAGAAAACTTCTCCAAGAAGATCAGAGATCTTCTACAAGAAGATCAGAGATCTTCTCCAAGAAGATCAGAGATTTTCTCCTAGAAGATCCGAGATCTTCTCCAAGAAGATCAGAGATCTTCTCCTAGAAGATAATGGATTTTATCCAAGAAGATCTGAAATCTTTGCCCTGAAGATCTGAAATCTTTGCCCTGAAGATCAGATATCTTCTCCTAGAAGATCAGAGATCTTCTCCTAGAAGATCAGAGATTTTCTCCTAGAAGATCAGAGATTTTCTCTTAGAAGATCAGATATCTTCTCCTAGAAAATCAGAGATCTTCTGCAAGAAGATCAGAGATCTTCTCCAAGAAGATCAGAGATCTTCTCCTAGAAGATCAGATATCTTCTCCTGAAAGATCAGAGATATTCTCATGGAAGATCAGAGATCTTCTCCTAGAAGATCAAGTATTTTCTCCAAGAAGAAGACCAGAGATTATCTACAAGAAGATCAGAGATCTTCTCCTAGAAGATCATGTATTTTCTCCAAGATCTTCTCCAAGAAGATCAGCGATCTTCTACAAGAAGATCCGAGATTTTCTCCACGAAGATCCGAGATCTTCTCACGATGATCCGAGATCTTCTCCAAGAAGATCAGAGATCTTCTCATAGAAGATCAGTGATTTTCTCCAAGAAGATCAGGGATTTTCTCCAAGAAAATCAGAGATCTTCGCCTGGAAGATCAGATATCTTCTCCTAGAAGATCAGAGATCTTCTCCTAGAAGATCTGAGATCTTTGCCCTGAAGATCATATATCTATTACTAGAAGATCAGAGATCTTCTCATAGAAGATCAGAGATCTTCTCCTAGAAAATCAGTGATCTTCTCCCAGAAGATCAGAGATCTTCTCCAAGAAGATCAGAGATTTTCTCCAAGAAGATCAGCGATCTTCTGCAAGAAGATCCGAGATTTTCTCCAAGAAGATCCGAGATCTTCTCCAAGAAGATCAGAGATCTTCTCCAAGAAGATCCGAGATTTTCTCCAAGAAGATCAGAGATGTTCTCCAAGAAGATCGGAGGTCTTCTCCAAGAAGATAAGAGATCTTCTCTATGAAGATCAGAGATCTTCTCCTAGAAGATCAGAGATCTTCTCCTAGAAGATAAGGGATTTTCTCCAAGAAGATCTGAAATCTTTGCCCTGAAGATCAGATATCTTCTCCTAGAAAATCAGAGATCTTCTTCTAGAAAATCAGAGATCTTCTTCTAGAAAATCAGAGATCTTATCCTAAAATATTATAAATCTACTCCAAGAATACTAAAAATATTCTCCAATAAGATCAAAGATTTCCCCCAAGATCTTTTCTTAGAAAATCAGACATCAGGAATTTTCTTCCCAGGGATCTGATATTTTTTTTAGAAAAATTAGTGATCTACCCCTTTTCCTTCCTATTATTTTGATACTCACTTCCACCCTGCATAAATGCAATGGCCGCATCGGTCCAATACGCTCCTCCCAAATCTTCCAGTATTCGGGCATAAACCATGGCATCGGTAATCAAATTGCCCAAATTACATTCCTGATAGCGGCAAACTTTCCGACTGCCCTCCAAATAGACTTTGGTATGGCCGACGGTATCATCTTCCAACTCCTTGACTTTGGGACGGTAAACCTCCAATAATTGCAGGACATCTTCCTCCTGAGGTATTTGGGAATTCAACAAAATTGGAGAGCCATGGAAATCCAAAAGGTTGCCATCGTGGTCAAACTGGAAATGGATCCGGATTTTTTGTCAATTTAAAGAAGTGAAGAGATAATTATGAGAAGATCCCTTACCTTCACATATAACTTCCCCATATATTTGGTATAGGCATAGGCCTGCACCACTGGCACAGCTTTACCACTTTCCTGTTTCACCACAGTCGGATAGGGTCCATCAATGCTTTCCAAATCCGGCTGTTCGCCATTATACAAAAAGGTGTTGGTATGGCCACCAATCACCAGATCTACATCAGGGCACCGGGCGGCAATTTCCAAATCCTTGTCATAGCCGGAATGGCCCAAGGCCACAATTATGTTGACACCTTGTTTCCTTAAATTCTCAGATTCTCGGCTGCAAAAAAATTCCAAAGCTTATGAAACTTCTCTTTTCTTCTCTAATTTTCCGAACTTACTTTATCGCCTCAATTTCATCGGTTAACAATTTCTGCTTACAATTTGTCAATTTTATGGTGTCGGGAGTCAGATAACCAATGACACCTATTTTCGTACCATTTACCTCCAAAATTGTAGAGTTGTGGAGATTTTTTGTCTCACGCAATTCGGGTACTGCGGAGAGGTCCAAATTGGCGGTGACAATTGGAAATTCTACCTTGTTGAGAAAGGGTATGGCTCCAGCAATACCGGAATCAAATTCATGATTACCTAGGGACTGTAAAGAAGCGATGGGGTAAGTAGTTTGAGAGAATCGGATTTTGGAGGTGACTTACAGCGACATCTGGTTGCAAAATATTAAGGAAAGCCGTGGCAATATCATCTCTGAATAAATAAAACCAGGGTGTACCCGTCGAAGTATCTCCGGCATTCATGAAGAGTACAGGGACTCCGGTTTGTTTGGCCTCGTCACGGTGTTTGCGTACACTGAAAGAAAAGAGGAAGAGTTGAATTGAATTGAGAGTCAGAAATATTCTCCTAGGACCTAACGCATCTCCTCATAGAAATATTCGCAATAGAGGTTAGAAATATTCTCTTAGAACCTAACGGAACTCCTCACAGACGAAAAGGCAACTTCTTATGGAAAAAATCCACGCCTTGGTCTACTCGGAAAAAAATATTCTTTAAAAAATCCACGCCTTGGTCTACTCGGAAAAAAATATTCTTTAAAAAATCCACGCCTTGGTCTACTAGAAAAAAATATTCTTTAAAAAATCCACGCCTTGGTCTACTCGGAAAAAAATATTCTTTAAAAAATCCACGCCTTGGTCTACTCGGAAAAAAATATTCTTTAAAAAATCCACGCCTTGGTCTACTCGGCAAAAAATATTCTTTAAAAAATCCACGCCTTGGTCTACTCGGAAAAAAATATTCTTTAAAAAATCCACGCCTTGGTCTACTCGGAAAAAAATATTCTTTAAAAAATCCACGCCTTGGTCTACTCGGAAAAAAATATTCTTTAAAAAATCCACGCCTTGGTCTACTCGGAAAAAAATATTCTTTAAAAAATCCACGCCTTGGTCTACTCGAAAAAAATATTCTTTAAAAAAATCCAAGCCTTGGTCTACTCGGAAAAAATATTCTTTAAAAAATCCACGACTTAGGGCTGCTCAGAAATACTCACACATTTGCCACCCGAGCAAATCCGCCATAACACCTCATGGCCTTGGCCAATTCCTCGGTACATTTTTCACTATTGGCACTGGTCTGTTCGAAGCGGGCATGCATATCATTGTTGTGTAAAATAATAAATTCTACAACAGCGGGATTTTCATGACTTCCTCCTGTAATGGGATTAGCAGCTGTCACTCCGAACAATATCAAAAAAAGACAAAGTGTCAAAATGCTGCAGAGGCGTGCAGTAGCAGCAGCGGGGGCTGTCATCATCACAGCTCTGACCTATGATAAGAAAAATCAAATTAAAAGTTTTTTTGTTTGGCGATTAGAAAAACAGATTTGAAAATAATTTACCGAAATATTTATTTACTGAAAAAAAAATTGAAATTGATAATAGTTTGTTTTGAAATAAATATTTGAACAAAAAACTAGTGTGGGAATTAATTGCGATAATCCAAATTTCGTTGAATATTTGTTTCGTATCAGCAGTTTTTTTATATTTTATATATCCTCTATTTTTTCCAGCTTCACTACAAATGAATCGCTTCGTCTGAAGTCTGGAATACAACTGACAAGATTTCTATCAATTCTGGATTCGAAAACCTAGACATTCGATAGACAATCGGTCTTAGATCTAAAGGCGCTGCACAGTGTTTCGATTTGAGTTAAGATTTTATTTAGAATACTTCGATTTTTTAAAGAATATTTTTTCCAGGCCTCCATAAGGCGTGGATTTTTTAAAGAATATTTTTTCCAGGCTTCCCCACGCCTTCTTAAGGCGTGGATTTTTTAAAGAATATTTTTCCAGGCCTCCTTAAGGCGTGGATTTTTTAAAGAATATTTTTTCCAAGCTACCCTAAGGCCGAGGATTTTTTAAAGAATATTTTTTCCAAGCTACCCTAAGGCCGAGGATTTTTTAAAGAATATTTTTCCACCCAAAGGCGTGGATTTTTTAAAGAATATTTTTTCCAAGCTACCCTAAGGCCGAGGATTTTTTAAAGAATATTTTTTCCAGGCCTCCATAAGGCGTGGATTTTTTAAAGAATATTTTTTCCAGGCCTCCATAAGGCGTGGATTTTTTAAAGAATATTTTTTCCAGGCCTCCATAAGGCGTGGATTTTTTAAAGAATATTTTTTCCACGCCTCCATAAGGCGTCGATTTTTTAAAGAATATTTTTCCAGGCCTCCATAAGTCATGGATCTACCCCTTTTTAACCTTTTTATAAAAAGTATGAAGAACCTATCTCAATTCCAATGACCTTGAAAAAACACTGCATAACAAATAAAACATAAACAATTAAATATAAATATTTTGAAATAAATTAACCATCTAGATTGTGGCTATGATGTTTTTTTTTATTTTACCTCATTTTTAAATATTGAAACATTTCATAAAAATACAATTTTAAATTTATATATTTGTTTAATTGTGGTTACCATATTGCACTCCCCAAAATAGATTTCAAGTTCATACGATTTTTGTGGGTGATTCATAATTTTGTTGGCAAAAAATTTGCAGACTATATTTTGAGGCAAACCCCCCCAAAAAAAAAAAAAAAAAAAAATATTGAAATAGTATCCCCAACCACAAAAGATTCCAAATAAAATCTCAACCTCAAGTATTTTTGTTGCAGAAAAAAAAATCCGTGAGGTATTAAATTCGGTAGCAAGCTGCCTAACATTATGTTGACGTCAATATTTAATAAAAATAAATTATTGATTTTGTTTCCCTAAAGGAAACATAAATTTCCGCTAAATTTTGGAAATGGGATAGCTGACAACTTTCATGTTTTCGATATACGAAAAATAATTTAATATTTTATGGAAAGATTGATTACTTCATTTTATTGAAAAAGTGAAAAAAGCGTTATGTTCGGCCGAGCCGAACTTTGGATACCCTCCACCATAGGTATACTAACAGATACTATCATCGAAAATATAGGGTACATACCCAAAAGTGGACCTATACCGAAAATTCAATGTACACCACATACAAATTTCAGTAATTTTTAATGGATATTTTTCCTAAAAACCCCTGAAAGTGGTCCGATATTGACGACGCATGGTAGGGGTGGAACATCTACAAAATACTACAATTAAAAGGTCACAGTTATATAAGGCCATCACCAATATACACAGGTTTTATTTCGGCCTAATTGAGAACAGATATATCTCTATTTCGAAATTAAAATTGTTGCATCAGAATACATTTTTTTAACGCTAAATATTAAAAATACCGAAAATCGGTAGGTATCATTATATGGGGGCTAGGCCTAAATGTGGACTATATTTCCGCAGGTGAAATAATTACAACAGAGTCTAAGAACCCAGCCCAAAACGCGGAACAAATCAGATAACTATTTTAATATAAAAAAGGGGGTTATATGAGGACTACCCCTAAAAGAGGGTGAATATTATTGATTTTTGGTAGGGAGACGCGCTCAAGAACCTAAAAATACCGAAATATGGGGGTATCCTTATATATGGGGCTACCAGAAAAAGTGGACTTATATTTATAATTTTTAGTGGAGATATTTGGTACCCAATAATCTATCTCAATTCGTTTTAGGGCTAGAGTGATTAAAACAATCAGACGGAAAGGCGGACATGGCTATATCGTCATAGAATTTTACGCCGATCAAGAATATATATAGTTTATAGGGTCGGAAATGATTATTTCGATGAGTTACAAACGGAAACAAAAATTAATATACCCTCCATAATATGGTGGAGGGTATAAAAAAGGGGGTTATATGGGGACTACCCCTAAAAGGGGATGAATAATAATAATTTTTGGTAGGGTGATTTGTTACCATGTACGACTACAAAATACCAGTGAATTCAGTGAATTCGGTTCAAAAACGCGATCTAGAACCTCAAAATACCGAAATTTGGGGGTACCCTTATATGGGAGCTACCAGAAAAAATGGAGTTATATTTATAATTTTTAGTGGAGATATTTGGTACCCAATAAGAATCCAATTTACCAAATTGCAGCGAATTCGGTTCAAAAACGCGATCAAAAACCTCAAAATATCGAAAATAGGGGGTACCCTTATATGGGGGCTATCCGAAAAAATGGACCTATATTTATACCCAATAAGAACTCAATGTACCAATTTTCATCGTATTCTGTTGAAAAACGTGCTCAAGAACCCCAAAATACCGAAAATTGGGGGGTACAGTTATATGGGAGCTATGCCGATATATCCCATCTTCGAACTTGATCTGCCTGCAGTCATAAGACAAACCTATGCAAAATTTTAGCACCCTATCTCAATACCTTCAGAAGATAGCGTGATTACAATAGACGGACGGACATGGCTAGATCGTCTTACAATTTTACCCTGATCAAGAATATGTATACTTTATAGGGTCGGAAACGAATATTTCGATGAGTTACAAACGGAATGACAAAATGAATATACCCTCCATACTATGGTGGAGGGTATAAAAAAATCGATATTTAGAAAAATCGACACCTTCTTATTAAAAAAAATCACTAATTTTGAGTATTTCTTGAAAAATTTTTAAAGTCTAGAGGAATGTAGACTTTCTTGTATTCGATAAAATGTTTTTATGGAATTCGATAGGAAGACATTATGCTTTTCTATAAGAAGACCTCCTCTATATGAAGATCGACTTGTCTTACCCTCTGGTCTTCAAAATAGGGCATATAGAGTTCCTGGTATCCGTAAGAAGACTTTGTGGACTGGAATGCCATCTTGTATTCAACAGAATGACCTTCAGGTCTTCTGTAAGAAGGCTCCTTCTGGTTTTCTATAAGAGCTTCTTCTGGCCTCTCAAAAATTTTTTTCTGGTCTTCTAAATGAAGATTTTTTGATCGGATCAGAAGATTTCCGAAAAAACCTCTGAGAAGGCTTTCCGCGTCTTGCATAATAATACCTTTTGAAATTATATTCGACTAACTTCTGGTCTCCTATAAGAAGACTAATTAGTCATATATATATGAAGACCCTCTGGTCATACATAAGAAGAGCTTTTAGTCTACTATAAAAAAGAGCTACTTGCCTAATATACTGTGAGAATATATTCTGGTTTGCTGTAGGCAGACCTTATGTCTTTTGTATGAAAATTTCGGGTTCCCATAAGAAGACATTCTAGTAATTTTTCTGTTATTCTTTAAGAAGGCATTATGTTCTCCTATAGGTAAACCTGCTAGAGTTTTTATAATACTATAAGAAGTCCTTCTGTCACTTTGTATAAAGACCTTCTCCAGAAGAAGGTATTTTACTCCTAATGGTCATATATGAAATAACCTCTGGTCTTTGAAAGAGGGTATATAAAGTTCCTGGTATCTGTAATCAGACTTTGTGGACTTTTAGAAGAATACCATCTGGTATTCAATAGGATAACCTTCAGGTGATCTGTAAGAAGACTCTTTCTGGTTTTCTATAAGAGGATCTTCTGGCATACCATAAAAACACTTCTGGTCTTCTAAATGAAGATTTTCTGGTCTGGTCAGAAGATTTCCGAAAAATCCTCTGAGAAGGCTTTCGCGTCTTCCATAATAATACCTTTTGGAATTATATTAGACTAACTATAGAAGACCAGATTATAAGAAGACTAATTGGTCATATATATATAGGAAGACGCTCTGGTCATCCATAAGAAGACATTCTAGTCTTTTATAAAAGAAGACCTACTGGCCTAATATTCTGTGAGAATATATTCTGGTCTTCTGTAGGAAGGCCTCATATCTTTTGTATGAAAATGTTCGGGTTTCCATAAGAAGACATTCTAGTCGTCTGAAAACCTACTGATATTTAATAGGAAGGTCTTCTGTCTTTCTTTAAGAATGCATTACGTTCTCCTATAGAAAACCCTGCAGATGTTTTTTAAAAGATCTTCTGGTCTTCTTCTATATGTTCTCCTATAGGAAAACTTTGTGGACTTCTAGAAGAATGTCATGTGGTGTTCAAAAGGATAACCTTCAGGTCTTCTGTAAGAAGACTCCTTCTGCTTTCTATAAGAAGGTCTTCTGGCATGCCATAAAAAACTTCAGATCTTCTAAATGAAGATTTTCTGGTCGGGTCGGAAGATTTCCGAAAAATCTTCTGAGAAGGCTTCCGCGTCTTCCATAATAATACCAGAGGGTCTTCATATATATATGACCAATAAGAAGACTAATTGGTCATATATATAGGAAGACGCTCTGGTCATCCATAAGAAGACATTCTAGTTTTCTATAAAAGAAGACCTACTGGCCTAATATTCTATGAGAATATATTATGGTTTTCTGTTGGAAGACCATATGTCCTTTGTATGAAAATGTTCGGGTTCCCATAAGAAGACACTCTAGTCGTCTGTAAGAAAACCTACAGGTATTTAATAGAAAGACCTTCGGTTCTTCTTTAAGAAGGCATTATGTTCTCCTATAGGAAAAGCTGCAGGTGTTTATTAAGAAGATCTTCTGGTCTTCTTCTATATTCTATATGAAAATTCGTTCTCTGCTCTTCTATGAGGTTACTTTCTGGTCTTCTGTGAGAATACCGTCTGGTTTTCTATAAGAATGGTTATTCTGGCTTTATAGAGAAGATACTCTGGTCTACTGAATAAATGTCACCTTTTATGGGAGACTTTCCGATCTTCTACAAAAAAACCCAAGGTATTTTATAATACTATAAGAAGTCATTAAGTCACTCTGATATATTCTGGTCTGATATAAAATAGTCTTCTATAAATTGATCTAGTTTTATACCGTTCACCACACTGTGGTACAGGAAACGAGATAGACACATGGTTCCTTTTGAGAATATGCATAGAATCACTTTTGAAGTCGATTTATACATGTCTGTCCGTCCGTCTGTCCGTCCATGTATTTTTGTGAACAAAGTACAGGTAGCATTTATGATCCGATTTGGATGAAATTTGGCATAGGTCACTTATTTGGCCCAAGAACGAACCCTATTGAAATTGGGAAAAATCGGTTCAGATTTAGATATAGCACAGATTTAGATATTTGCACGAAATTTGGCACAGCGTAATGAATTAAGTCTAGAATGATGTCTGCTAAGTTTCGTGAAAATCGGATCAGATTTAGATATAGCTCCCATATATAGTTTCGCCCGGTCTTAGTTAAATGGTGCACCAAAGTCCCTAAGAATCATTCGATTTGCAGGAATTTTGGCATAGTTTATTGAATTAAGTCTAGAAATACGTGTGCTAAGTTTTGTAAAAATCGGTTCAGATTTATATATAGCTCGCACCAAAGTCCCTATATATCTTTCGAAATTTGGTATAGCGTTCTGAATTCAGTCTAGAATAATGTGTGTAAAATTTCGTGAAAATCGGTTCAGATTTAGATATAGCTCCCATATATATTTTCGTCCGATTTAAGGTAAATGGTGTACCAATGTCTCTTAATATCTTTCGGTTTGCAAGAAATTTGGAACAGCGTAATGAATTAGGTCTAGAATGATGTGTTCAGATTTAGATATAGCTTCTATATCTGACCAAATGAAAAATTTAGTGCCGGTTGCAGAATGACATGTTTATGGATCCAATTTCATTTTACTGGTCCTTTAAAAATGCGACGTCTGTTAGGATTCATCTGTCGAATATACCCAAAGTGGTGAAGGGTATCATATAGTCGGCCCCGTCCGACTTTGCTACTTTCCTTACTAGTTTTCTTGTAAAAAATTGTTAATATTATATTTTTTTTATTCAAAAAAAAAAAAATAAATAAATAAATAATAAATAAATAAATTGTATTTTATATATAAATTTAATAAATAATTTATTTCTTTCTTATTTTTTTTTTCAAATTAATTCCAAGTTATTTGCCCCTGGGCATCTCGCCATTATCCTCATGAATTGGTATGATTTTGGGTCTAACAATACGTGGCAATCTGGGATCTCGTGGTGGTATGGCCATGTTTACGGTAAAGGGGAACCTCTGAAATTAAATAAAAAATAATATTAAAAAAATATAATAAATTAAAAAATAAAATATATTAAAAAATAAAATAAATGAAAAAAATATTTATTTAAATAAATAGGAAATTTGTCTACTTACACCACCAGGTGCCAAGGGAGAACCATGTTCAAGTTGCGGTCTACCATAAACTTGTGATTGAATCCAAAGGATGCCAATGAAAATAAGGATAACCGAGTGTAAGAGACTCATGGGAGACATGTTCAAAAAATCTCTCTCTTTGTAAATCTTTAGTTTTTCAAGCAAAAAAGTGAAGTGTGCGAACAATGCGTGGCGTTAAGAATTTTTATATTAAAAAAATAACCCTACCAATCTCCTGGTGAATGAATGTTAAGATGACAAATAAATCGATTACGTTACGTTTTTTCCACGCTTTAATTTTGCATACGACATGGTGACATATATATTCCATAATAATAAAAACTCCTTACACACGAATTCGTTATTTATTTAAGTGTTCTGCTGTCTTTTAAAAATAACATTCCCTTCCAACAGGTGCGGATTGTTTAGGTGAACGCATTGAGAGATTATAAAGAGCCGGAAATTTTATATTGGAATGTTTATTGTTTTTCAACGTCAAAGTGAGAGTGAAAGCCATATGAGTCAGGAGGAGTTGCAAAAATTCACTCCCCCTAGAAATAAAAAGGGAATGAATGGATGTCACTCCCACTTTCATATTTCGAAGTTGCTGCGTAAATATCAGGTTTATCTCTTCAATTGTTAACGACTGGCATATGTAAACTATATTACATATATTGAATAACAAAATGACAGTTATTACGTTTCGCAAGAGATTATTCATTTTGACATTGTCAGTGGATTATTGGAATTTAGATTAGAAACCTACATACACATACACATTAATCTAAAAATAGAAATCCCGCACAGCTTTTTTTGCTTTTACAAATAATTATTGTGAATGATTCACAATATGTTATTAACATTTTTTATAGAATCTGAATCCGGCTTCACATAGAACACCATAAAAAAGTCCAGGAGATCTTCTTATATAAGACTAGAAGGTCTTCCTATAAGAAACGAGGAAGTCTTCATTTAGAAGACTAGGAGGTCTTCATATCAAGTCTTCAATTAGAAGACCAGAAGATCTTCATATAGAAGACCAAAATGTCTTCTTATAGAAGACCAGAATGTCTTCTTATAGATCTTCACATAGGGGATTAGAAGACCTTCCAATAGAAGACCAGAATGTCTTCTTATAGATCTTCACATAGGGGATTAGAAGACCTTCCAATAGAAGACCAGAATGTCTTTTTTATACCCTTCACCACACTGTGCTACAGTGTATTATGTCTTTGTGCATATGTTTGTAACAGGCAAAAGGAAACGAGATAGACACAGGGTTCCTTTTGAGAATATGCATAGAATCACTTTTTAAGTCGATTTATGTATGTCCGTCCGCCCATCCGTCTGTCTGTCCATGTTAAATTGTAAACAAAGTACAGGTCGCATTTTTGATTCGAATTGGATGAAATTTGGCACAGCTCATTTATTTGGCCCAAGGACGAACCCTATTGAAATTAGGAAAAATTGATTTAGATTTAGATATAGCTCCAATATATATTTTCGTCCGATTTCATGTAAATGGTGCACCAAAGTCCCTATAAATCCTTCGATTTGCACGAAATTTAGCATAACATACTTAATTAGGTCTAGAAAGATGTGTGTTAAATTTCGTAAAAATCGGTTCAGATTTAGATATAGCTCCCGTATATATTTTCGGCCGATTTTAGGTAAATGGTACACCA